CATACCGTAGCCTCGTAACCTATAGCCATTACTCCGATATTTCAGAACTTTGTCCAGACTGCCAGAATCGCAGTGATTTTAACCACATGCTCTGGAGGTGCCCCTCTTTACAAAGAAAAAATGAAGAATTTTCTGAGAACTCCTTTCATTTAATGCTCACGAGTCCGGTTCTCATACAACAACTCAAGGCTGTCCAGAAGGCCCACGATGCGGCGGTGAGGCTGGGCCTCCCCGTCCCAACGTGAGAGCGGCCCGCGATCCTACCCCTATAAAACGGGGGTGGAACCCTTCAGGACCCCAATAAAAGTTTTTCATCCACCCATCCATCCATCCATCTACTTGGAATAATCGCTCAAGCACAACGCGCCATTTTTCACTCACAATCAACCACAATGCTGCTATACTGACAACGACACAAGAATTACTGTGAAATGACCTTTTTGACCCTATCACGCGAAGCTAATAAAGGTGTCTGGCAAAACTATACACGCGTTACAAGGACAAATTTGGATATTAAAACTGCGATGAAACGGTTATATTGCTTTATGACGTAATTGTTCCCCATTATATTATTGGGAGAAAGTGACAATTTCAGCGCATGTGTGAAACAAGGAACACGATAGAAACATATTAAAATGCTATACGAAGTGAAGCTGGGAAGCAATTTTTTTTAGATCAGATGTCATAGAACTCTAAAAAGTGATGGCGCAAGAGAATACGGCTGCTCCAGCAACAATTTTTACCCAGAAAAACCCGCCCGCGGTTGGCTGCCGTGAGAGCGTCATTGCTCGCGCACCAGCAATGGCGACTGCACTTTTATAAGTTCACAGCTGCGCCTATAGCAACCCCTGCTTCTTGGCATTTTTATTGCTTGTTACAAATGGACGGGGCGTTTCTCTTCTACTAGAGCATTTGACGGCCAGTCTAACGGGCAGGGTTACCTTGTCGCATGCTCTCTCTAAGCTACGGAGATAGATTCTGCTTAGCCGCGTCCGTCGCCCCCACTCGTGCGAAGTTACCCTAGGTTAAAAATAGCTAAAACCTACGATGCGGTGGCGGACCGTTATATTTAGGACATTATAGGGAATGAGGTGGCGATGAATAATGCTATAGCAATAATAAACCGCCGGACTTACCTTCGTCCAGAAAATGTTCGGCTGTTCGTCCACCAACCCATTCCGTATATATTCTGGTCGCGTATGACACAAAAAAACAAATATGAGTTAACGCATTTTGTACAATACATAGTTATACCACACTATTCGCTCACTCAATTCTCGCGTCACTTATGTATTTCTGCAGTGCCTCTACCTGAGAGTGTTTTCTTTTTAATGAGTATAGGACAGTATAGGCAAGAAGTCGGAATGAACAGGCTCCTCTTTGATAAACACAATAATATTGAGACATAAAAAACAAGACCCAGAAACGTTTGGCGGATGTAATATGCCGTAATTGTATTGTAAATGTAAACGAAGAAAAGTAGTCGAAAAGATAATTTTTCACGGGCAGAGAACGAACCTACGATCTCTGGGGCTCGACGAAACGAAGCACATCAGCGGTAATCCATCCTTGCAATTTCATGGGCTTTATTTGTGCAATTAAACCTGGAAGTGTTAGCGCCGCCACTATAAATGACAGCAAGTGTGGCACACTTCATATGCGACTATTGGCATTGTAGAACGTGACTAAGATGTTGCAGGATTTATTTATTTATTTGTTTGAAATACTGAAAGCCAACATATTTGCTCAGACAGGATGGCCTTCACGTACAATGCAAAATTATATATACAGACAACGCAGGGGACGAGCACAAGAAACAAAACAATTCCTGGAACAAGTATAACAATCGTGAAAACAAAGGGCAATGGTAACGTGTGGTCAATTCAAGGAAAACAAATCGGTAACAATAAAGGGTGCCAGACCTTCAAAACATGGCTTCAAGTATTACTAACAAGGTGATCAGAGCTGAATATGCTATTTGGAAACGAATTTCCATCCACGACCGTATAAAGGCAGAAACTACACAGCAATATTTTTGTTTGAGCGAAAATTGGTGCGAACAAATGTATGTGGTGCTGTCGCGTTAGTCTTGTACTAAGGCGCTTAACAGATGCTGGGACTGCTAAATTGATTTTACCTGCAAGGCACTTGGGGAGGAATGAAAACTGGTCAATATTTCTCCGGCCTTCCAGCGTCTTTATGTCATTGAGCCTAATTACTTTAGGTGAATATAGATGTTTCTATATTCCCAATGCAAATCTCGTTGCGTCACGTTGAACACTTTCTGGTTGCGAAATGTTTTTTGTTAATGCAGATCTCAAACAATGTACGTATAAAGGTACAGAGGAAAGAAGCATAGTTTAACTGCAATAACACTTGAATTATAAACAAGAATTGTAAATCTTCGAGGATGCCCGAGTTTCGCCTTCAAAAGTGGAACTCATGATGTGTTCTAGGGTTGCGAACCGTAGTAGTGTACTTTTTTATTTTTTCGGTCAGCGAATAGTAGTAATAAAGTGACGTAAGAGAATTTCAACATTTCGCTCATTATTTGTCAGTGAAAAATATGGATCTGAGCGACATACCCGAAGGTTAGATCGGTGAAGAGATTGCAATTGGAACGTCATATTTCAAATGTCACCAGCACGAAATTCGAAAGATAATAGATTAAACATTTTAGTGCTGGTTTTGTTTTATTTTAGTGGTGTGTGGGGTAGCTTTTTTCTTCCTATCTCGTCTTTCAATTATTGCAACGGTCCTCGGCTTCAGTTACTAAGACCAAACCTTTAGATTCCTTACCATACATTAAATGTATGGTGAAGCAAAATTCTCTGTCAACGCGAGTTTCGCCAAGAAACTTCATTGTATAACGACGCCAGCTCATGATGCCATTGTGGCATGACATATTGCCAAAATTTTCATGTGATGAATAAGTCGTTCTGACGTCATTGAAACATCACAATGTGGCGTCAAATGATGGCGTCATCAGATGTCATCAACGGAAAGTCCAGGATCGGTGGGCCGATCTCGGACACACCCCGTACGTCTCAACGTCGTAAAGTGTAGGTTATCATTGTTACGTCTTAATATTTTCTGGTGTAAGATAATAGGAAGGGTAATTAAAAATGCTGTGTAGGTTAAAGCATGGTACTTGCAATTTTGGCGTGGGGTATCTTAAAAAAGCGTTGGCAACACTGGCGTAATAATGCATCATGCGCTTGCCCTCCTGTAGTGCTGCAATCCTCGCTTCGGCTTTTTGTAGATGCCTCATCCATGCCACTAAAAACGATCACCTGTTAGCTAAAAGCTTTATTTTATTATATCCTAGAATGACCACTGCAAGTACGATTTATAAGTCACCAGCGCGTCATACTCATTAATTTAGCAAATCATATATGTGTCCGCTACGTGTCCATAAAGCAGTACGCAATCAAACGCAGCTGCTCACTATGTTGATAGTTTTGATGCTGAAGATTTCGAAGTATGTGTGAGCGCATTGACATGTATAGGCCTTTAATACATCCGCTCTTTGCACAATTCAGATATTGTTGCTCTTGGTGCGATCTTGTGCTTCTGCAACGCAATATTGCCCCGCCGCGGTGGTCTAGTGACTAAGGTACTCGGCTGCTGACCCGCAGGTCACAGGCTCGAATCCCGGCTGCGGTGGCTGCATTTCTGATGGAGGCGGAAGCGTTGTAGGCCCGTGCACTCAGATTTATGTGCACGTTAAAGAACCCCAGGTGGTTGAAATTTCCGGAGCCCTCCAATATGGCGTCTCTCATAACCGTATGGTGGTTTTGGGACGTTACACCCCACATATTAATCAATCAATCATTATCATGCAACGCAATATGCTATGCGCTAAGGTCACTCTTCCATCACATGACCTCAACGTCTTGTTCTGTTTCTTTACCGTATGACTTTTAGCAATGGCGTCCCCTCATGTTAAGACACCTGCTTGCCACACCGAAAGCTCATATTCGAATCTCACTCGAACCGAAAATTCTTGTGTTTTCTTGTATTTGCATCTTTCACGGTATTTCCTCAATGTGTAGTCGTTTTGGGTTTCTTTCAAAGCTTCACTGTCAAAATAGTTTCACAGCGTAGATTGGAAGCATAAGTTATTTTTTCGTACATAACTACATTTTAGAATTTCTAGAAATCAGCGTTAAAAATGCTGGAATGCCATTTATGCTTCATGTAAAAACTTGCCTCTGTTTCGTGGGTGGAACAAACATAAAAACCTATAACATGGTGATTTCACGGCTAGAAACCCCATTGCATAAACCAGCGCTACTGGGTACCAGCGTCCAGCGCCATGCCTGATTATGCGCCCAGTATTGATCTGGTACCAGTGCCTCCCAGCTCTGGTACTGGTACGCTGGAGCGGCAGCATCTCAGTACCAGCGCGGAGAAGCGCTAGTTACTTTGAGCAAAATGGCTTCACAGAGTTAAAACGGGGGATTCGCATTCGACATAAGTAAATATAGAAGTAAGAAAACCAATATTGGGCACATTCACATAAAAAACAATAACAAAATATGACAGGATTTGAACTTGTCACCTTCTTACTCAAATTTGAGTATATTCTACCCCCTACGCTACGCCAGATCATGTAGGCTCAGTCATAAAATTATTAATATTCCTAAGAACACGCCATTCAACTTCATGTTTACGAGTCGCACAGTCAAGATTGACGCGATATTACTTTCCAAATTACAATTGCGTATTGATTCGACAATGCCGAACGGCTTCCGGGCACTGAATGACGTGCGGATATTGGCAAGAGTGAGAAATTTTTCAGTGAATCTACGTCATAACTATGAAAAGTTTCAAATAGGCAATATGCGAAATTTACAGCTCCATCTTGTGAACGCAGCAGGTACCATATTCGCCATTTTGATGCTGTCGAGGCTTGAACACTACGCGCGGCCTACCCACTTGCGAACGTACGCGTTTAAAAGCTTCGACTGTCGCATTCAGATTTTTTTGCTGGCGAAATGCCAGTACACTGCTGTGTGCCGTTGTGCAAGCAGCGCGGAGTCACAGACAGCGATGGGAGCAAAATATGTGGCATGAATTACTATTTTGCAGCAATAATTTGAACGCAAAACAGGGTATGGCGTGCACAAGATTTATGGGCACAGTCTAGGATGCCTGTATCTCCGCGGTGCGGTGGCTGCACGAGAACAAGGCAGGACTAACTATTTTTTCTGTGTTATGTGGACAGGCCATGTTTTTATAGGTTTGTCAGCTTTGCGGCTAGGTGATCTCTCTACGTCGGGCCTCTACACGACAGTGGTACTCTTCGATTTACCGTCTCACACTCGCTCAGAATCTCTGATTGATTGATATGTGGAGTTTAACGTCCCAAAACCACTATATGACTATGAGAGACGCCGTAGTGAAGGGCTCTGGAAATTTAGACCACCTGGGGTTCTTTAACGTGCACCCAAATCTGAGCACACGGGCCTACAACATTTCCGCCTCCAACGGAAATGCAGCCAATGCAGCCTCGCTGAGAAGCTCTCCGGCATTCAAATTTTTTTTATGACTTCGGGGAAGCCTCGGACTACCCGCGGAATATCCGAGGTGAGTGTGAGATGGTAAATCGAAGAGCCCCGGTGATTCTCTGCAGTCGAATAGAGAGTCCACCACTGCTAGTAGGGCAACTAGTGAGAGAGAACCGAACTGTTAGGACGGGCTTTTTTTATGACAAGATTACACCATGTAGATAGACGACGTAGAAATGTTATTTTCGAAGGTGAGTGCGCACAGAGATGTGCAGAGCTTCCGCTACTGAGAGTAACATGCCGTACACGCATCCTTGAAAGGCAGCTCGGTTGCTTGTCCGCGTTGAAGCTCCATTGAGTCCGCAAGTACGGTCACCGCGCAGCAATAAAACAGTCATTCAAGAGATAACGGCTATGCCCACTTTGGAACAGAAAAGTATTTTCTCAGGCACTTAACTTCAATTCCCCCAATGTGCGCTGACGCAACTTTTTTATTGGGGCCTCTCTCACTAATTTTCCTTTACCAACGAAATAAAATTGAAACGATAGCGGGGCGCACGGCCGTAGGTTTCGAAAACTTGCACCTTGAGTATCGCCAGGACTTGACTGAATGACGTTCTGCATGAGTTTAGAGCACGGCAGTCCTATTTAATCGTAAGACGGGATTCAATCTCTGCTTTTTAGTCTCTATGGCTCAGTTGCGTTGCAGCTGTTTTTTTTGTGTTGCAACTCACCTAACTTGAAAAAGTGTTTCATGTTGCATTATAAAACATACAACTGTGGAGACAGCCATAACTTAGTTGTATGAGATTCAGCATTTTGGCTGCCTTACACTCGCAGCTCCTAGAAACCTTTGAAGCTACTTAGATATTGTTACGTTTGAAAGAGACTAGTAGAGGTTGAAAGGGGCCGTTTATTAGGTCGTGAGGAGCAGCTCAGAAGCGGCCGACTGGTTAGAGATCCTCCTGATCTTTTTCTTCCTTTCTGGCTCTGGGTCACAAGTGCGTTCACCATAAACGCTTCTTTGTCTTCGTGCATGCGCGCAACATTCCTCTCCGCGCAGACGAAGGCCACCGGATGAGTCAGTCGAGTTGTCGTGGCGTGTACAGTTTCAGGCGGGTAACATGAACCACTTGAGTTTTGGCAGCTCGGCGACTACTCGCCGTGAGACGAGCTATTACATAATTGACCTCTGTAAATCTGTCGACAATGACAAAAGGTTCATCGTAAGTGGCCAAAAACTTTTGGTATAACCCGCGCTTGCGCATCGGAGTCCACAACCACACCAGATCACCACGGTGATAAATCACTGGTCGATGGCGAATGCGTACCTTCGCTTTGTCTTGCGATGCCAATGTGCGTAATCGAGCTATGCGACGTGCCTCTTCGGCGAGGCAGAGAGTCTCGGCGACAGCGACGTTGTCGTGATCACAGAAAGGCAATATTGTGTCGATTGTGTGCCGCGGCGAACGTGCATAAAGCAAAAAGGAAGGGCTATAGCCTGTATTCTCATGCTTCGCGGTGTTGAACGCGTAAGTAATGAACGGGAGTGCGTCACCTCAGTTCTTGTGGTCACATGAGACATACATAGACAACATGTTGATAATGGTGCGGTTGGTACGCTCCGTTAGCCCATTAGTTTGGGGGTAGTATGGTGTCGAGTGACGCAGGCGCGATTCACATAAAAGGAGTAGCTCCTCCACGACATCCGCTGTGAATTGTCGTCCACGATCACTGATAATCAGGCGAGGTGGGCCATGTCGGAGGACTGTAAGAAAAACGACGAGACTTCACTGGCAGTTGCGGAGGGGACGGCCGCCGTCTCGCAGTAGCGTGTGTGGTAGTAGACGCAAACAATTATCCATCGGTTGCCCTTAGTCGATTTTAGAAAGTGGCCCAGAAAGTCGATCCCCACTTGTTCGAAAGGCGCGCTTGGAGTAGGCATCGGCTGTAGAAGACCAGCTGGACCAGTGGATGGACGTTTGGGACGCTGACATTGCATGCAGCTTGCCACATAACTCTCAACAGACTTCTGCATACCAGGCCAATAAAAGCGCTCTTTAGTCCGGTGAAGCGTCCGCGCCAAACATAAATGTCCAGATGTAGGGTCGTCGTGCATGACACTCGTAGTAACTGTTCGCAGGCTCTCCGGGACCACTAGAAGGAAACGCGCGCCACTGCTGGAGAGGTTTGTTTTGAACAATAGTCCATCACGCATACAGAAATGACGTGCAATAGTGGAAGCGGATGCAGTGACGAATAGTGGTGCTAGTTTAGCGTCCTTCCGCTGTTCTGCTCTGAAACTGGGGTAGTCCGGGAACGTAGGCGACACAGACGCTACAAGCTGGTCAAGGTCATTCGATTGAGCTAAGTGGCATACATGAAAGACAGTCTGCGTCAGAATGTCGACGACCACTGTGGTAAGCGACGGTAAAACTGTATTCTTGTAGCCAGAGTGCCCAGCGCGTAAGGCGGCCACAAGAGTCACGAAGGTTCACAAGCCAACACAACGAGTGCTGGTCGGTTACGACTGTGAATGGGCGTCCATACAGGTAAGACCTAAACCGCTGAATTGCAAATAATACCGCCAGGCATTCTTATTCTGTAATATTGTAGTTTTGTTCCGGCCTGCTTAGGGAGTGACTTGCTTGTGCGATGACGTGTTCGCGGTCGCCGCAACGTTGTACTAGGATGGCTCAAATACCTATGCCGCTAGCATTCGTATGAAGTTCTGTCGGAGCAGAAGGACTGAATTGCTGAAGGACGGTTCGTGACGTCAGCAAAAACTTCAATTGACGGAATGAAGAATTGCACTCCGGAGTTCACTGAAAGGAATTGTCCATTCGTAAGAGGCATGTGAGAGGAAACGCAATGTCGGCAAACTTCGGAATAAAGCGGCGGAAGTACGAACAAAACCCCAGGAAACTACGAAGCTCCTTGAGTGAACGTGGCGCATTGAACGCCTCAACTGCTGTTGTCTTTTGGGGGTCGGGGCGGATGCAATCCTTGTCAACGAGATGCCCGAGCACAAGCGTCTGGTGGTCGCCGAAGTGGCATTTCTTCGAGTTTAGAATTGGGCCAGCGTTTTGGATGCAGTTCAAAACATTATCCAGACGAGAGTTGTGTTCACTGAACGTGCGACCGAAGATGACGACGTCATCGAGGTAGCACATGCAGATGTTCCACTTCAAGCCACGCCGAATGGTGTTCTAAACCTATCGAACGATGCCGGTGCATTGCACAGTCCAAATGGCATCACGTTGAATTCAAAAAGCCCATCAGGGGTTACAAAATCAGTATTTTCCTTGTCCTATGGGTGCATCAGAATGTGCCAATAACTGGATCGTAAGTCTACGGAGGAAAAATAAAAGGCCGAATGTAAGCAGTCAATCGCGTCCTCTATACGGGGCAGCAGGTATACGTCCTTTTGAGTCACGGCATTCAGTCGGCGATAGTCGACGCAAAATCTCCAAGATCCATCTTTCTTCTTAACAAGGATTACCGGCGCTGCCCACGGACTGGCTGACTCTTGTACCACTTTCTTTTGCATCATTTCCTGCACTTGGTCGTTGATAAGTTGTCTTTATGACGGGGAAACATGATATGGTTTTTGGCGAATCGGACTTGCCGCGCCAGTGATGATGGTACGGCGCGTTCGAGACAGGAGGATAGGAATTACTTTGCCCTTCTGCGCAAAGTCAAATACCGAAACGTGCTTCAACAGCACATTCATTAAAGTTCGGCGCTCGCTTGAGTTAAGCGACATATTTATCGTTGTCATAAGCGCCCCATCCAAATTGTGACAATCAGTTCCGTCACGTTCATCCGGCACGTCTGTGAGCTCGACCACCAATAAGGTCGCGTGTTCTTTGCTGACCGAAGCTTATTTCAAACCATTGGGTAGTGCCACGGGCTCAGAGGAACAGTTTGCAGTCCATAGGTCAGTTCGTCCGCCATCGATCGACACCATACAATGGGGGAGCCAACACATTCTTCTTCACGCAGTTTATGTGCATTGGTTCTACGCTCGCATCGAAGCTGTGAGAATCCGCGCCGCGACAAAAAGGAACACGTACGGTAGACAACACAGGTATGAAGGTATCACCAGAGACACACAGCGTAGTTTGGTCATTCACTGGAGTTTCCAGAAGTTCTGATGGCATCTGGCCACTCACAAAGACTTTCACCGTGCGACAGTCTACAGTGGCACCACGTTCTCGCAAGAAGTCCATGTCGAGAATGACGTCATGTGTCGACCAAGGAATAATCGCAAACTCTGACGTTATTGTAAGGCCTCCCAAAAATACTTCGGCACTACACACACCAATAGGGCGAAACGGCTCTCCACTCACTCAACAGAACGTCGAAGTTTCATGCCAGGTAAAAACAACTTTCCGCCCTAACACGTCTTTAAAGGAAAAACTCATCACGGAAATCGTTTCACCTGTATCTACCAAGGCCATCACAGGCACATAATCCACCGAAACACGCACTTTGTTTTTAAACATACACACAGGATGTATTTCTGTCAGTAGCACGTTTCCAGCGACCTCACCCCCGTTGGCTGCGCTAGCTAAATTTCCAGTGGCAAAGAGGGCGCTTCGCGACGCAGCGGTGAAGGAGAACGATGAGCACGAGGTCGCGGTGGGGGCGTTAAACTCCTGTCAGATGCCGGGAAGTGGTTGCGGAAGTTGCTGGGCCAATAGTTCTCATCAGGTGGTATGTGGGCCGGCCACCAGACACCATGTGGCTGTTCGAAGGGTCTTGAAAAGTCGGATGGTTGGTGAT